ATCAGTTCAGATGCGTGATTTAAGGATACCCACACCAAACTCTGCCACTAACATGATTATCCATGTGGGAGGTCTTTGGGAAGGCTTTCCACACATTTTTATCTTATAACTCACCCCTGTGTGGAGTTAGAAGAGGACTGTGTTTAAATGCTTGAAGTTTGATAATGTAAAATGAAGCAAAATTAGACCTTAATCTGTGTCAACACCAACTAAATGAAGTTTTCAACATATTTAGTCCCTGGTCCTGGCAGAGAATCGGGGTGATGTAGCCAAGCGTTCACATATGTCTGCCAGCTCAGCTTTTCTTTGCTCTAAGGGCTGCATGAGAAAGGGTTCCCATAGACCCAATGGCCCCAGAAGCTGCCTGGAGCAAACCACCCCCTTTCACAAATCTAACGTTCTGGGAGAAATGCCGACCTAAACAATGTGACTCCATGAGAGAGGATCATCACATTCTTTCATCTGCTCATCTCCTATAAACCCACAAGGAAAAGTGCTCCGCGTAAACTTCAGGAACCTTATTCTCATGTTTATGGCAAATATCAGGAAACAAGAATATGCTTCCTATCTTGTAGTTCTGTTACCTACAACCAGGATTCTAACATTACATAAAGCATTCAGCTTCTCCTTGACTTCCATTCTCTGGATAAGCATACATTTTAGAGAGATTATATTTTCACATGAAAAGTTGACTAAAGTCTCATTAACTTAGACCATATTTCACATAGAAATGTTGTGTTTCTCTGGTGCTACAGTCTCTGTCCACAAAGAGTGAAGATAAACTAAACTACTCACTGTAAAGAATTGCATCATGCTATTCAATGGAAGGGATGTAACCTACGATCTGAGGGTTAAACCTGTAGCAAGGAATCCAGGATTACAGAAAAGTTAAATTTTGCAGATGTTCTCATGCCAGGAACCAACTTAACTTTCAGCAAGTAATGGGAGATGAAAATATAGTTGGCTTTTAATAATCATTGATCTTTTCTTTTGTCTATCTATCTTGCTGGTTACCAGAAATAAAATTCTATCTATCTATCTATCTATCTATCTATCTATCTATCTATCTATCTATCTGATCTCTATGCATATCTACCTATCTATCTATTCACACATGTATGGATGTATCTATCTATCATCCATTTCTATTTAACTCTCTCATATTTCTACATACCTATCTAATCTCTATGTCTATCATCTATCATCTATTTATATCTATCTAATCTCTATATCTATCCATCCATGTATCATCTATATCCATCCATGTATCTATCTATCCATCATTAATCTCTATGTGTCTATCTATGTACCTAAGTATCTATATCCATCTATCAAACTATTTATCTATCTATCATCTATATATCTAGCTACCTATCCATCTATCATATGTTTTTATGTATGTATTTATGTATGTATGTATGTATCTATCTTCTATCATTGATCTCTATCCATCCATCATCTATGTATGTATGTATGCATCATGTATGTATATATCTGTCTATCTACCTATCATCTATTTCTATCTGTCCATCCCTCTATGTATCTATCTACCTTTATCTGCCCGCTTATAGCACACATCTATCTTTTGATGGTCTGCATTATTCATGCAAGAAATGTGAACACGGTGCAAGTCTTTTTTCTTGTTTACTTGGGTTTTGCTTGCAGCATTTTGAAGAAACAAAACCCATTTGAATGAAACCATGATGTGTGCAGTCTCCAGGAATGCAGTAAAACTCCCTAGCAATTCACTTGCCCCAGTGTGTATGTCCCTGGGAATGTGGTGAAGCTCCCCAGCAATTCACTTGCCCTAGTCTAAGAGAGAGACTTTTTTCATGGTATAAGTATATAAGTGTTTAGTGTTTGTTGTATTCATAACTAATACAATTTTAGGCATTCAATACAAATCTACACAATAATATATTCTGTTTAATAAGAATATTTACTCAAGCCCATAGTTAACTTTATGTGAGTCATCTTGTGAAGTGGCAGAAAATCCAAGATAACATAATGTTTGTGAACCTGTATTTACTTACTTTATAGTACCACTTATATCTAAATGCCTGGAAAAATAATCATTTAAATTGAAACATTAAAATACTATATCTTTAGGTCTCAGTGTTACAGTAGAGTCAAATGTAAGCTATTTAGGATCTGCTAAGGTCATATGTAGTCTTCAAATATTGTATGAAAGGAGAAAAATTCAGCTTATTTCCTGAAACCATGGGGTTTATAAGGAGAGTTTATTACCTGATAAGAATAGATGTTTTATATTCCAAAGCAGGTAACATTTAGGCTTTTTAACTGTTCACAAGTAAGTCATGTATCCATAAACTAGGAGAAATAATAAAGGAAATATCATTCCATCCCTTTAATTTTAAGGATCTGAGACTCCTTGAGTTTACTTGTGTTTTAATAAAAGGATGTAAAAGCTGTATGCAAAAGCTTTTAAATCATCTTAGATACGTGCTATTGCTAATATTAGCTATGCCTTTGAAGCGTCCATGGGTTGCAAATTTACAAAGCCCTCCACATTCACTACATTCAAACTGTTCTTTGACATACTTCTGATTTTCACAGGAATCTCAGGAACTTAAAGCATGTTGCAAACACTAATTACACGTAAGTATGTGAAGCATGTAAGAGAGCAAACTCGAGGAAGATAAATATTAACCCCACTTGATCATGATGTCAAATAAGATGTAGAGGCTGCCCATACTTATGCCAGATCTCTGGAACTGCGGGGTGGAGCCCACATGCCTTTATCAACTAGATTCACAATGTTGCTGGCTTTCTTGATTAGCTTGTGAAAAGAATTATGGCAAAGCTCTATTTCAGTACTGTACAAAGTGCTAGGTAACTGTAAAAAGTTACTTAGAATTGAGAAGTCAAATAACTATTAAGATTATAGTTCAACTTACTTAGAATTGAGTTGTCAAATAACTATTAAGATTATAGATTGACTTTCAGTAAAATTCTGCATGAGTCTGTCTTCAGAAATTAATAACAAGGAGCCACATACTCATGTGCTCAGATGTTGTTTGTGAAAATTAATACAGATACAGAGTCCAACTCTCTTAATTTCCTGGAATAGGGGGACCATCACAAGCAAACTATGAAACCTAAACAAATACAGCAAAACAAATACAATTGATCCTTGAACAACATGAGCTTGAACTGTGAAGCTCCACTTATATGAGGATTCTCTTCCACCTCTGTCACCCTTGGGACAGCAAGACCAACCCCTCCTCTTCCTCCTGCTCCTCAACCTCCTCAACATGAAGACGACGAGGATGAAGACCTTTATGATGATCCACTTCTACTTAATGAATACTAAATACATTTTCTCTTCCTCACAGTTTTCTTAATAACATTTTCTTTTCTCTAGCTTACTTTACTGTAAGAATACAGCATATAATATATATATGTATATATATCATAAAAAATATGTGTCAGTTGGCTATTTATGTTACCAGTAAGGCTTCCAGTCAACAGTAGACTATTAGTAGTTAAGTTTTTAGGGAATCAAAAGTTGTACATAGATTTTTCAAGTACCTGGGGGCTGTAATAAGGCCTATCTTTGTTAGGCATTATGGACCATAAAGAATTAACCACGACCCTTGCCTTTAAGAGTTTGCCTCTAAATAGAAAGAATGGACCTCATTTTTTTTTTTTTTTTTTTTTTTTTTTGAGACAGAATCTCTCTGTCGCCCAGGCTGGAGTGCAGTGGCGAGATCTTGGCTCACTGCAACCTCTGCCTCCCAGGTTCAAGCGATTCTCCTGCCTCAGCCTCCTGAGTAGCTGGAACTACAGGTGTGCACTACCAAGCCCAGCTAATTTTTGTATTTTCAGTAGAGACAGGGTTTTGCCATGTTGGCCAGGCTGGTCTCGAACTCCCGACCTCAAATGGTCCACCTGCCTCGTGGCTGGGATTACAGGTGTGAGCCATCACGCTCAACCAGAATGGACCTCACATTGACCACATGGGCTTTAAATAACAAGCTGGGAATTGACACAGCAGACAGCCTTGAGTTCAATCTCTTGAGGCTTGGGGCATGCAGCAAGAAATGTAGAGCATCTAAGTCTTCCCTTTCTGAAGATTAAGTTAGTCCCAATCGGGGAAGAAACTTGCATAGTGCCCTTCAATCTCAATTCTCTAAAGCTAAAAGTAGAGGGAAATCCTCTGCTCACCCGAGCCAAAGGCTCCTCCTCTGCCTCCTAATCTCTGCTCCTGGATCTACACCTCTCATGGGCAGTTGGAAATGGGAGTTGCCCCTCTCCTTAGGAGGAATGCTTCCTGCTACACACCAGTGGGTCACCTTTGCTTCTGGTTCCTACAGAATAATCTCATCACAACATCATAGTTTCCTCATCTATTGATTCGTATCCATTCATTTATTTGAGTATTTACTAAATACTTGTGTGGAAAAGCTCAATTCCAACACTGGGTTTTGCAAGTGTGGTGCTGAACTAGACAGGCCTGGTTCCTGCCCTCGGGTATTTTGCACATCGCTACTCATTGCAAGCTGTAAAGTTGGGCTTATCCAGGCTTAAATAGCTGCATATGTTCTGGGTCAAAACTTTAGGGTCCTGTACCTCCATCTTAGGTCTTCATCTTTCAAAATACCTACTCACACACACAGGATAAACACGACTGAAGTAAGACAACCAAGTATCTTTTAATTGCCATATATACATATACATACATACACATATGTATGTATGTATATGTGTGTGTGTGTGTGTGTGTGTATTTGGAGACAGGATCTTGTTCTGTCATCAATGTTGGAGTGCAGTGGTGTAATCATAGTTCACTGCAGCCTTGAACCCATGGTCTCAAGCAATTCTCCTGCCTCAGCCTCCCAAGCAGCTGGGACTACAGGTGCACACCATGACACCTAGCTTATTTTTACATTTTTTTTGTTGTAGAGACAGAGTCTTGCTATGTTGTCCAGGCTAGTCTGGAACTCCCGGCATCAAGCAGTCCTCTAAAAGTGCTGGGATTACAGGTGTGAGCCACTGTTCCTGGACTGTATTTTATATTCATGTTGAGAAAAGCAACATCCTAATGGAAAAAAACCCCACATTTCAGAGAGACACAGCTGTGACTCGACTAATTCCTGCCATTTATTCTGCAGGATCAAATTCTATCTTCTCAGGCTTCTCCTCCTCAAGGACTGAGGGTTAGTTGAGGAGTATTCTTAGCTTTGTAGAAGAGGCAGGATTGTCAAGGAGGGATGCAGCTGTGAAATGCTCCTATGTGCTGCCTTCGAGCTGCTACTTTGAAAAATCCTTATGAGCCGTGCAAGTCCCTTCCTCTATTGGAACTAACTGAATCTTCAGAAAGGTGAGGCTTAGACCTCCATACTTTTTGCCCCTTCGCTTCCCCCACTGAAAAAAACCCATGGTGATTAAAGATACTTGGTTGTCTTAGTTTACTAATATGAGATGGGGTGACCCAGGACTCAAAGAAGAAGCCCTTATGATGTATGATGAGAAGTCCATAGGCTTCTGTGTGTCGTAGGGCTGGAGAAGGACATGCTTGGGAAGTGGAACAGGGTGACCATGACCTTGGAGTTCAGAAAGACTGCTCCAGGGAATCAACACCAGGAAAGTGAATTCCTGGTGAAGGGTAGTGGGAGGAGAGAGTGGATAACTGGTTTAGCCCACCTGTGTAAGTGTTGAGAGTTAGACTCTACTTCTCCCCTCTCCCACGTCGGTTTCAGAAGCCTTGACTTCCAACTTGAGGTTGGCGAGTTTCTTCTGGGGATACTGGGGAGACATAAATGACAACTCATAAGTGGTCAGAGCATCAGCATAGGCGGGGTGCACTGTGTGGTTTGTCATCTGTGGGATTTCCAAGAAGGACACTTACAAGCCACATCCTCTTATCCTCCAAATGCTTGGGTCCCAAGCTCTTCCATATAAGCCGCATCCTCTTGGCACAGCTGATTTACCAGAGGGGCATTTTTTACCCAGATAATACCTGAGGAAAATGAATGTCTGGTTGGTATTGATACCCAGTCGTAAAGTAGAAAAAAATCACAGTGAGAAATTGTGTACACACAATAAGAAATACAGTATTCACAGGTTACTTTCTTTTATTTATTTGACATTCTGTTTTAGAAGAAGTTTGTAGCTTTCTATAGTAAACCCTACTTTCATCTTTCTGCTCAAGGAAACAATAGTTACGACTCAAGGAAAGTGTGAGGAAATCCAAAAGAGAGCATCTCCCCGTAAACCTGATCAAATTCTGTGGAGAGTTTGGCGTTAATTGAATGAAGTGGCAGCCTTTCTGTAGTTGAATACATATCAAAGTGAGGTACAAGTTGTTTTCCCTAAAAGAGTGTATGTGTGTTTGAGAGTGAATATTTGCACACAGATACATATTTATAAAGATCTATAACAAGGCAATGTGGTTACATTGTGTTTGAATCAACATGTTTTGGATTAAGTCTCACTTCATCAAAAGCTCCCATTGAGATAAAAAGTGTCTCTCTACTACTCTGTTTTCCTACATCATTACACAAAACTCCACCACCCCGGGTGGGGAAAGAAAACTAAGAAATCTATTTTAAATATTCAAGGAATATATGCAGGAAGTGTTATTACATTCTATTAGCTACACCAACTGCTAAATAGAGAAAAGTCAGTTCAAAACTAACCGATATCCAGTCCCTGAAGTCTTCCGGGTGAGATTTTGCAGTGAGGGTCTCTAGAAAAGAAAGAATTACTTACTTACTACCTTGAAGTGTTGGAACTTAGGTGTGTCAACCTGAGGATGGCTTTCCCATCTGTGTTTTAAAAACCATATCAAGTCTGTGCATGTTCAGGACCTGTTCATGGGTGAGTGTGGGGCAGAAGCAGAAACTGACACTCTCTATCTGTTCTAAAACAAAAACAAGGCTTTTGAATTACAAATTTGGAGGCAGACTTCTGGCTCATGAGAGTGTTAAGGGAAATTATTTGCAAGCTTGGACATAAAAATATGCAGCAAAGTCTAGATCTGTTTTATTTACTTTCTTTTTTGCTGCTGCAAAAGTCTTTTTTTAAATCTTTCTCTCTTCAGGTTAAAAGAAATGGACTGAGCTGGCATATTTATCAAAGCAATTTACTGAGAATGCACTTTGACAGACTGCATTAAGAATGTTGACTTGTGAAAACAAAGGGTTGCTTTATAATGCACATAAATTATATGCTTTAAAAAAGTGAAGGGTCTGAATTTTTTTTAATGATCCTCTAGCTAAAGTAGAATGGAGTTTTGCCTATTTTTCATTTTAGCACTTCAAAAGGTCTTCTCAGAATCCCCTGGCTGACATAACTCAAGCAGAAAAGATAGCACAACTGCATTATGCTTCTCTACCTGGATCTATTAAAATTAGATTTAAGTCAACATATATTTATTAAGTATCAACCATGAACCAAAGACTGTGCTGAATGCTTTTAAGGATACAAAGATAAACCAAACAATGTCAGAAGAAGGTTGAAGGGAAATATCTCCTCAAATAGCAGCCTACCAGGGTATACTAAAAAATGTGCCCTCAGAAGAACAATATGGTTTCAAAGAAGCAATTGATTGTGTTTGGTTGAAGGCATGTAAATTATCTTATTTAAAACCAAATTTTGACTTCCATGTTTCTTGAGGGATGGATACTGGAAGAGACAGAAATCAAGGCAGAAGGGGGAGTCCAGAGGCACTAAGCAGCCTAAGCAAAGGTAACGTTTAAGGTCTGTTAAGGTGACTGGTTTGACTTGGTGTCTCAAGTACACATAGAGGAAGAGGAAGAGGAAGATGCAGGACTGGAAAGAGTGCAGCTTTGACACATAATTGATGGAAAATATGAGGAAGCTATGAAGATCTGGTAAGAAAATGCTATGCTGAAGGTGATATTTAATAATGGTTAATCCTGAAATGGTGTATGGTTGAATTGTTAAGGGATATGACTGAAGTTCCATCATGGGAGTATGGTAAAAAATTGCTGAGAAACAGTTGTATCTGAAATGCATGGGAAAACGTGAGAATGGAAAAGAAGATGGATGTAGAATATTGTCTACATACGTTGGTAAGTGTTTGTGGAGTGAGGAAAGAGTTTAAAAATTACTTCCGCTATTATTGGCTTGACCAAAGATTAGGGTCAAATAGTTCTTTCATAATTTAGTAAAACCTGACAATGATACAAGGAACAATGAGTTAGAAATTTAAATGTAAGGGAACAAATAAATAAATGAATTCACATGTACACACAAATCGATCTAGTTAATTATGTGAACACTTCTACACAGGAAACAACAACAAAAATGCTCAGAGAAATTAAAGACCTACATAGGGAAATATATCATGTTTATAGTCTGGAGGACTCAACATTTTTAAGATACCCATTTTTCCAAGCTTGTGCAATCCCTATCAATATTTTACCAAGGATTTTGTGGAAATTGTGAAACTGACTTGTAAAATGTATTCCAAAGCCAAAGTACCTAAATTAGCTAAGGTAGCCTTGAAGAAAAACAAAGGTCAAATACTTAGTTTACTGGCTATCAAGAATTACAATGAAGCTATGGTAATCAAGATAGTAGCACAAGAATACACTAAAAGATATATAGAAAATAGAATCTAGAATCTAGAGTACATCCCATATATGCAGTCGACATATTTATGAAAAAGTGTTACAGCAATTCATTGGAGGGAAAGAATGGTTACTTAGATAGGTGATGTTGGTTCCATTGGATTTCAATATATTAAAAATAAAGTTTTACCTCTACCTCAAATAAATTAATATGAAATAGGTCACAGATGATCTGTAAAATATGAATGATGAAACTTACAGAAAAAAAACAAGAAGAATATGTTTATGAGCTTGGGATATACAACAATTTTTAAACAGGACACAAAAATTACTAGGCATAAAAAACTGATAAATTGGTTATCATTAAAATTAAGAAATTTTGCTCATCACTAGACATCACTAAGACGGTTAAAGGATATGATAAAGAATGAGACATTATAGTCTCCAGAGGACTGATATTTAGAATATATTAAGAAATCTTATAAATTAGTACAAAAAAGACAACTCAATTAAACATTTTCAGAAGATTTAGACAGACCATTTCCAAATAAGGATTTCTGACTGGCCCATAAGCATATGGAAAGTTACTCAACATCATTCCTTATCAGGAAAATATAAGTTAAAGCCATAACAACATGCTACTGTCCAGCTACCAGAATGAATGAAATTGTGAAACGATTGACAATCCCAAGTATTTGCACATGTCTATGGAGTGACTGAAATTCTCATATATGGCTACTGGGAGAGTGAATTTGATGCAGGACAGGCGAGTCCCAAAGTGGAGCTTAGCCTTTCAGGATTTTTGGTTTTGCCAGGGATTCAAAGGTAAGCCTGTAGTAGGGTAGAAGAAAACAGCTTTATTGAAGCAGCAATAAAAAGAATTTTACTTAAAAGATTTGTACAGTATATGCATGCTATGTCTAAAACATGATGATAATTTTGAAAACTTACTTTATCCCTTAATGTAGAATGTTGTAAAATGTTCCATTTTAGCAACAACAAAACCATTGTAAAGGCATTTTTAAGAAAGGAGGCAAAAATCTATTTACTTTATTATTTTTCCCAGAATCTTATTAACCTATACATTTCCACATATTACGCATTTCAGTAAAACAGTGGAGAAGAAATACATTTTCTTCACTTTAGAAAGAAAAAAATAACCCCGAGGCTATTAAGAAGCATAGCAATGATTGGAAGCCTAAAAACGAAACTATCTTCGTTTATAAAAATGATTGCCCTGATCATATTATATACTAGCGTTTCAAAAGAAATGTTACCCAATAGAATTATACTGTACCTGACCGCTCACAACTCTCATTTTATTTCTAATCTAATCTGTCTTGTAGTTATCTCTGGAAAGAAAATGGCCCTCTGGTAATATATGTGACATAATGTGCTGAATTTGCAAAGAGGGGTAATTTTGATGAGAATAAATTCATAATAACATAATACATTTCAAGTATATAGGCCAATACTCACTCTAATGTCTGTACTTTTTCTCCAGTCTAGCATCTGATAGCATTTATGGAAAGTTTCACTGACTGATCAAAATGTTCATACTGGAGACTGGGCAATTTAGCAAAGAAAGTGGTTTAATGGACTCACAGTTCCACATGGTTGGGAAGGACTCACAATCATGATATAAGGTGAAAGGCACATCTCACATGGTGACAGACAAGAGAAGAGAACTTGTGTAGGGAAACTCCCCTTTGTAAAACCATCAGATACCATGAGACTTATTCACTATCGCAAGAACAACACAAGAAAGACCTGCCCCCATGATCCAATTACCTCCCACTATGTCCCTTCCACAAGTAGGAATTGTGGGGGGTACAATTCAAGATGAGATTTGAGTGGGGACACAACAAAACCGTATCAATATGCGTAAGTGTTTTCAGCTATGCTGACTGAATAATGAATGACTTTCCAAATATGTCCATGGCCTTAATCACCAGAGACCATACCTGTGTTACCTTATATGGCAAAAGGGACTTTGCAGTTGTGATTAAGTTAAGGACTTTGAGAAGGGGAGATGATCTTGGATTATCTGCCTGTGTTCAAAATAATCATTAATGCCCTTTAAGAGAAAGGCAGGAGAATCAGAATCAGAGAAGGTGATGGGACAAAGGAAGCAGAGGTTGGAGTGATGGAGGAGGAAGCCACAAGCTAAGGAAGGCAGGTAGCCTCTAGAAGCTGGAAAAGGCAAGAAAATGAATTCTCCCCAGGAGCCTTCAGAGGAGACACAACATTGTCAAAATATCAGTTTTAGCCTTCTGAGACTGATTTTGGACTCCTAACACGCAGAAATAAAAAATAATGTTTGCATTGTTTTAAGCAACTACATTTGTGATTAATGGCAAAGGAACAGTAGGAAACGAATACCTCATCCTAAAAGGGAATTCTAGGATTAGAATGATTAAACTATGAAAAATTAAACTCATTTCAGAACCAACTTTTAAAGTTTGGGGATCAGTTGACAAAAAACCTCATCCACAAAGATTCAGGCATCTAAAAGTTTTCAGTTATAATTTAAGAAAAAGAATTTAAAAACCCTGCTGAATGCATGTTCATATGTCTATTTATAAGTAACAATTTTAAGACTTTTAATGGCCACTTTAGCTAGCAAGAGAAGGAAATATTGCCATGTGCATTTACATATTTTGAAGCAAAAAGCTTAATACTTGGAGAAGAATCAGAAGGACCTACACTATTCACTGGCATAAACAAAATATCTACTTTCTGCCTCTTCAGTCACAAAAAAAGGGCCTATCTCTTGCCGCTTCATGCAATTAAAGAAAGAAGGATGTGCCTGGGTGTTTATTTTGGATATTCAGCACAATGGGAGCTTGTAATTAATATGAATCTTTTCCTTTGTGGCTATTTTAAAGTCAGCAGGAAGTCATCTGAAAGGAAAGGCTGTATTTTTAAACTTCAGGTAATGTTCCCAAGCTTGGGAGGTTCACGCTAATAAAAAAAGTCTTTTGAAAAAGAATATAGAGCTAGTTATAATATTTATATGTTATGAAAGAAAAACAGTCCTTGGAGGACAAAGATCTCTAACCAAGCCTTATCCTCAGAGCTGTGGAGAAGCACCAGGTCAGAGACTTTCAATTCTAAACTTTAAAGTCTACATCTCTCCTTGTTTGGGCTATACCAGATCCTGGCTGCACATGTCCGCCATTCCTCCACCATTCCTCTGTTATCAGTTATGAGTTCTCCACAGTCTCGCAGCACTT